GTCAGAGAAATAGCAAGCATCGAACTTAAGCTAAAAGAATCCTTTAGGAGTCAGGAATACGCGGGAAGAACTAAAGCCAAAATGAAATCGAAAGAAACCCAAAGTATTTCTTCTCCTATGCCAAATCAAAATCGAGAACAACGTCCAGTATTGGGCCCCTACTTAAACAAGATGGGTCCTACACAGATGACAACAAGGAAATGAGTGAGCTACTCAAGTCCCAATATGACTCAGTTTTTAGCAAGCCGCTAACCAGACTGAGAGTCGAAGATCAAAATGAATTTTTATGAGAGAGCCACAAATTTGATTAACACAAGCCTATCCGATGTTTATCCTGACGCCAAATGACTTCGAACAGGCGATAAATGACATGCCCATGCACTCTGCCCAGGGCCAGACTCATGGACTCTGTGTTCATCAAGAACTGCAAGAAGCCCCTATCACGAGCCTTTTCCATCCTATGGAGAGGGAGCATGGACACGGGGGTCGTCCCACAGTTACTAAAAACAACAGACATAGCCCCACTCCACAAAGGGGCAGTAAAGCAACAGCAAAGAACTACAGACCATATAGCACTAACATCCCATATCATAAAAATCTTTGAAAGGGTCCTAAGAAGCAAGATCACCAGCATCTAGAAACCCATCAGTTACACAACCCAGGGCAACATGGGTTTAGAACAGGTCGCTCCTGTCTGTCTCAACTATTGGACCACTACGACAAGGTCCTAAATGCACTAGAAGACAAAAAGAATGCAGATGTAATATATACAGACTTTGCAAAAGCCTTCGACAAGTGTGACCATGGCGTAATAGCGCACAAAATGCGTGCTAAAGGAATAACAGGAAAAGTCGGTCGATGGATCTATAATTTCCTCACTAACGAACACAGAGAGTAGTCGTCAACAGAGTAAAGTCCGAGGCAGCTACGGTGAAAAGCTCTGTTCCACAAGGCACAGTACTCGCTCCATCTTGTTCCTCATCCTTATATCCGACATAGACAAGGATGTCAGCCACAGCACCGTGTCTTCCTTTGCAGATGACACCCGAATCTGCATGACAGTGTCTCCATTGCAGACACTGCAAAGCTCCAGGCAGACATCAACCAAATCTTCAGTGGGCTGCAGAAAAACAATATGAAGTTCAACGATGAGAAATTTCAATTACTCAGATATGGTAAACATGAGGAAATTAATCTTCATCAGAGTACAAACAAATTCTGGCCACAAAATAGAGCGAAACACCAACGTCAAAGACCTGGGAGTGATCATGTCGGAGGATCTCACCTTCAAGGACCATAACATTGTATCAATCGCATCTGCTAGAAAAATGACGGGATGGATAATGAGAACCTTCAAAACTAGGGAGGCCAAGCCCATGATGACACTCTTCAGGTCACTTGTTCTATCTAGGCTGGAATATTGCTGCACACTAACAGCACCTTTCAAGGCAGGTGAAATTGCCGACCTTGAAAATGTACAGAGAACTTTCACGGCGCGCATAACGGAGATAAAACACCTCAATTATTGGGAGCGCTTGAGGTTCCTAAACCTGTATTCCCTGGAACGCAGGAGGGAGAGATACATGATTATATACACCTGGAAAATCCTAGAGGGACTAGTACCGAACTTGCACACGAAAATCACCCACTACGAAAGCAAAAGACTTGGCAGACGATGCACCATCCCCCAATGAAAAGCAGGGGTGTCACTAGCACGTTAAGAGACCATACAATAAGTGTCAGGGGCCGAGACTGTTCAACTGCCTCCCAGCACACATAAGGGGGATTACCAACAGACCCCTGGCAGTCTTCAAGCTGGCACTGGACAAGCACCTAAAGTCAGTTCCGGATCAGCCGGGCTGTGGCTCGTATGTTGGTTTGCGTGCAGCCAGCAGCAACAGCCTGGTTGATCAGGCTCTGATCCACCAGGAGGCCTGGTCTCAGACCGGGCCGCGGGGGCGTTGACCCCCGGAACTCTCTCCAGGTAAACTCCAGGTAATTGGTACATCACTAGAAATAAATATCAATCATTCAATATTTAACAGTTACTTCATATAATTGATGTACACAACACAGTATGAAATACAATCCCCCCCAAAATGATATCTTATAACCATTAAAAACCATTGGTCATAACTGAGTTGCTATCTCCGTAAAAACAGTTCATTTATCTAGTCGATGCAAAATGCCGATACAACCTCAAGATTTCAGATATAATTAGCAATGAGATTTTTGCCATATCCTATAAGGTTTGTATGGGAAGGTTGGATGTTTGGACGGTAAGATATAATGCTCCCGTGTATGGCACTGTCTCTGTCCACACACTTTGCATTTCATGTCATTGACATCTCCATACAAACCGTAGTGTCAGGGATACTTATTCAATTCAAGTTTATTCTCTATAAGGGTTACAATGTGGGGTTTACAGGTTTTGGGTATTGTGTGGTTTACATGTTATAAAATACTAATTACAGAGGGGACCACTAGGACACCTAGCATGGCTAGGCATTTCGAGCAGACTTAGATTAAATCTTAACATTAAATCCTTACAGATTATGGTATTAAGGCTAAGTGACTACATCATAATTTGTGAATTTAGCAATGTGAATGCTTTTGTTTTGGCACAATACAAGGTGTCTATATTGGAGTATCATAGGCAAACTTATGATTAGTTAGGATTTATTATTTTAAGATTAGTATTTCTGTGTTTATAGTCAGTGGGTGAATGAGTGTAACTGTGAACCACCAGGTGGTTATCATGTAGTTAGTTGTCGGGGTGGATCAGGGAGATAAGATGTTTTCTAACTGTAGTTTTGAAAGTGATGAATGTGTCTGCAGTTCTAGAGTTTTCAGGTAGGGTGTTCCAGATTTTAAGTCCTTTGAAATACATTGAATTTTGTAAAGGTTTAGTCGAACACGGGGAATGTCATAGAGATGTTTGTGTCTGGTGTTATGCCTGTGGATCCTGTCACAACTATCAAGAAAGCGTTTTACGTCAAGGTTAATATTGGAATTTAAGGTCCTGTAGATATAGATTGCACAGTAGTAAGTGTGGATGTTCTGAACAGGGAGTAAGTTTAGATCTATGAAGAGTGGGGAGGTGTTGCCAGGGATGGGATTTAGTGATTATTCTTACTGCAGCTTTTTGTTGGGTTATTATTAGCTTTAGGTGTGTTGCTGCAGTTGAACCCCAAGCACAGATAGCATAGGTGAGGTATGGATATATAAGTGAATGGTATAGTGTGAGAAGGGCAGTCTGCGGCACGTAGTATCGTATCTTGGAGAGGATCCCCACCGTTTTGGATACTTTTTTTTGTTATGTGTTGGATATGGGTGCTGAAATTTAGGTTGTTGTCGAGGTATAGGCCAAGAAATTTGCCCTCATTATGTCTGGCAATTAGAGTGTTGTCGATCATAATGTTAAGTTGCGCAACACCTGCTCTGCTACCAAACATAATACTATAGTAGGTTTTGCCAGTGTTAAGTGTAAGTTTATTGGCTGTCATCCAAGTCGATATTTTGAGCAGCTCCTCGTTAACAATGGTGTTGAGGGTGGCAAGATTAGGGTGAGAGATGACATAGGTCGTGTCGTCAGCAAAGAGAATGGGTTTCAGGTGTTGGGATATGTTTGGAAGATCATTGATGTAAATGAGGAAGAGCAGGGGTCCAAGGACACTTCCCTGCGGAACTCCAGTATCAAGTGGCCGTATTGATGAGGCTGTGTCTTTAATGGTGACATACTGATACCTATTAGAAAGGTAGGATTTAAAATATGCAAGCGCATGGCCTCTTATACCATAGTGGTCAAGTTTGTGGAGTAGGATGCCGTGGTCTACTGTGTCAAACGCTTTTATTAGGTCAATAAAAATTCCTAGCGGATATTCCTTATTTTCCAATGCAGGTCTAGCATTTTTATAATTGCATCATTAGTGCTTTTATTTTTTCCTGAATCCAAATTGGCAGGGGTTGAGTATGTTTTGTGACGTTATAAATGAATATAGTCTCCTGTGCATGAGTTTCTCGAAGATTTTGGATAGCAATGGTAAGTTTGATATTGGCCTATAGTTGTTTACGTCTGTAGGGGCACCACCTTTATGTATTGGTGTAACCCTTGCTGTCTTGAGTAGTGTCGGGAAGGTGCTAGTTTCTAGTGACTTGTTAAAAAGTAATGTAATAGCATGCGAAAGGACATGGGCTGCTCGCTTGTACAATAATAGTGGGACGTGAGACAGATTCCCCGAGTTATTTTTAAGTGACTTTATGATCACGGTGACTTCCGTGGGCTCATTTGGTACAAGATAGAAGGAATTTGGGAAATTCTCATCTAGGTAGTCCCCGGCACGGGCATTAGTATGTGGGATTTTACTGGCGAGATTAGATCCGATGTTTGAGAAGAAGTCGTTTATCTTGTTAGCTGTATCAGTGGGATGCAGTGGTGTTTCATGAGGTTTAGTTTGAACAATATTCTTGTTTTTTTTTATATAGTCTAACCTTAGTCTAATAGTAATATCTTGTAATTTACCGATCTTTTTACTTTCTCCATAGATGCTTAACTTGATATATTTCATTATGAGAGATAATAGATCTGCTAGTTTCTATCTGTACTTTTCTACTTAAAGCCCGTTTACTAGTTCGTTGACAAATTTTCTCATTCTCTCCCCAGGATACTTGTTTAGCTCTGTGGATTTTTGCTACCTGGGAAAAGCCATTTGGAGTGTTAGAGTCTTAAATCTGCCTGGACTTATGTACGGAGTTCACATAACCTAAATGAAAACTTTCTCTTCCCATTTCTATTCTCAAAGGAAACTCAATATCCTCCCAGAAATGGAGAGCAAGACTCAATACTTACTTACTTACTTACGGTCTAAGCTGTGGTGGCTCTATAAACCCTCAACAAAGAAAGAAAACAGATATTCCTCGCCCTCCCATGTCAGTGGCCCTATAAACCCTAACAATAACAATCTGCCCTCCTTAGTTGTTCCACTGAGCAGGTAGTTAGTAGGACCTTTGCGCCAGCCTTCGTTGGGTGTGAACGTCTCTCTCTCGCCTGAGTATCAATGACAGATTTCCCCCGTCCTCTCTGGGACGCTTGTCCTCATTTATTTTGACCGCCGGGCACTCTACAGGAGGGGCACCTGTTCATCGGCTTTTAGGCAGCTCCATTTTTTTCCGCTCTGCGGAAAATTCTTTATCGGTCTTTGGTGGAAAGCCGGTCACTGAACTTAGGTGGGAGTGTGGGCGTCCCTCTCTGCTGGGGCTTGGCAAGGGTGTCCACCGGATCTAATTGGAAACTTCAAGTTTCTATCTCTGTTTACAAAGGAGCTTTTGTTCCTTTTCTCTCATGGCCCAGCCCTGAGCAACAAATCTTCCTCGTACCATCGAGAAGTCGGGCTGGATACGGCTTATACTGTCAGCGGCCCTGATAAACACAACAAAGGCAGCTGGTTTGTTGTTCATCCCTTGCTCGTCATGTGAGCGAAGAAAAATACCTGTTGTGCTTGTTTACATAGTAACAAATAGGATTTAATATCGAGATTATCAATTTGGTTGAACTAGGTCATTTACCTATTATTGTAAGTTGATCCTCTCTTTAATGTTAATGTAAATAACTCGGTTTACTTTATTCCCATTATCCCCTCAAGGGAGGTTCCTTGACACTGGTGAAGGGCTCTTGTTCTAGGGAATCGGATCAGTGCTCCAGTTCCCTGAATTGAACCTGAATGTCTTCCATTCCTTCCCCATAAGCGCTGTATAATCCTACGGGTTTAGCGCTCCCCCATGATTATAATAATTTATTCCAATAATACGTATCTCCTGATTTTCACAGCTGATTTACTTAGCAGTTTTAACTTTTAAGGTGCAAATAATAAGATATTATAAGAACCCATATGAAAATAAGTCACTGACATATTTTGGAGTTATCCTAGGTAATTTACACTATACGTTTATGATAATTGTACTTATGTGTACCTGTACCTAAATAAACTTACTTGTGGTAACAAATAGGAGTTAGCATCAAGATTACGTACTTGGTTGAACTCAGCCATTTACTTATTTAGCATGCAAGCAATGTATCAAAAAATTTTGACTCTTAATTATAGTTTGAATTGAACAATAATATGTTGGTTTTGCACTTGAGATAATATTTTGTTGTGTAAATAGTGAAAAAGTAACAAAACTCGTGTAACCCAACCTAAAATAACCAAACCTTACACTGGTGCATGACACAACTCATTACTAAGCAATGATAAGCTCAGACTTGCACACGGCCTAAATAAATGTACTATTTTTGCCACTAGTTCTAAAAATAACAATTTGCACAATTACTTATTATAGTGCAAGTATCGTAAAACATAAATTAATGTCTGTGTTCCACCGAGTATGTAATAGCCGCAAACTATAGCCAAGAATAAATATATATCAGCCTAGGTTTTGTTAGTTTGAGACAGGCGGCTAGATTAGGATGGGCTAGTTTAGGCTTGGGTAGACCTTAACCTAACGTAATTTAACTTAACCCAATATAAGAAAATGCCTTGTATAACAATTTGCACTAAATGAAACTATCGCTTTTGTTACTTAACCCTTAAACTGTCTAGACATAGATCTACGTTCGCACGCATAGTGCTCCGAACATAGATCTACGTCCAATTTTACATTGTTTCTTATGCAAAAAAGAACGTAGATCTATGTTTGGAGCGCTACGCTCGCAAATGCAGATCTATGTTTGGACAGTTTAAGGGTTAATATTGTACACATTACCCTGTACAATAAATTATGTATTGTCAAATTCTGCCAGTCAGCTAAACTTGATATTGACCTAAATAGGTACCTAGATGTCAGCTGACAGTTGCAGGATGTATCTTGAGGAAGAGAACCAAAGTACTCCAATAAAAATAGCCAAAATGATTGACATTCTGGGATATTAACCATATGAGTTAATATTATGAAAAAAGTCATATTCATAATTGGGTAATTGCCTGTTTGACTTTGCAAGGGGTGAGCTGTGTGGTTATTAGTCCCACCTCTTAACTTTTGACTAACATGAATTATCTATATCATTTGTGTTTGAACCTTTAAGTGGAGACATCTGCAATGTGTTTGTTTAGGTTAACGAATAACACACTTGTGTAACACTTGAGTAGCTTTAGTGATGGACATATTTTGTCAGTGGTGGCCTTTTCAATCCAATACAGTCAGGGAATAAACACTGGAGACTGTGGAAGAAATGGTGAGGTAATTTGAGGTGATCAGTCCCTCAACTTTGATTAAATCTGAAGCAGATGCCTAAAGGAGACTTATATACTGTACTCAAGCTAGAGAATTAGTGCAGCAGTAGATGATATCAGCATTGGGCAGGTCCTAATAGTGGAAGTATGGTTACTAAGCCATGCTCTAGAGTTGGGTCAGAGGTTGGCAGTAAAATTGAAGATATCCTCTGTACCATGATTTCATGGCATTGCCATGTCACATAAGTACAGTAAACTCTAGGTATAACAGACTAATAAAGGGATTGTCCAAGCATCCATTAAATCAGAATGTTAAAATGTAGCAAAAAAAAAAAAAAGTACTGAAGTACTAAAGCCTGGTCACAGACTGGGCCACGGGGGTGTTGACCCCTGGAACTCTCTCCAGGTAAACTCTCCAGGTATACCTAATATAGTACTGTACACACAATTTACAGATATATTGCAATAAACATTGGAAAAAAAGGAGTTAAAAGTACAATTTACCCAATGGATTTTGCCCATAATTTAAAAAATCTATTACATATAGGTCTGTTATAACAAGGATTTGCTGTATCAGTGTTATGCAGAGATGCAGTTATGATATATGTCTTTCATACTTGTTCATCTTTCTAATATTATATTGCGATTACCATCGTTAAATGCTAAAACGAGAGTAATCAGCTTTATAATATTAAATATTCATTTTCATCTTTCCCATTTTTCATTATATGTACATATATATGTATATATTTATTCTGGTGAGGAAATGGGTAACGACCAATTTGTTTGGCCTCATGTCTACACCACTTGCCTGAAGCGAGCTGACGTTAGGTGTGAGTGGGGTAGAATAAGCAGTACAGCACCTCTCTTGGTATAGAGAAGGTCTCCACAGCTTACTCACATTAACCTAAGCGGTGAAGCTTTTGAACTAGAGCTTTACTCGCTTAAGTCACCAGAAATTGTGAAATTTTCCTTATACAGAAGTTCTCGTCTGTGGAGACTTCAAGTTTTCTAAGCCATCAGCCTAATCTTAGAAAATAGAAGATAATGTAACTTTTATTCAACTGTATATTAAAGGCCCATTCAGCCAAATTGAAGGTCTTCATATTTAAGTGGTATATAAAGTCTGTTTATATATTATTAAGAATAAGGTACAACAAAATACTTTGTCTATAACAATATCTATTCTATATTAAAGATACATTTTAAAAAGTTTTTCGATCTCCCTTCAACCTTATTACGATAGAACTAGAGAACAATTCTCCTTGAAAAGTCCCCTAGACTAACAGCGCCTAGGGTTTATAAAGTTTATCGTAATAATCAGTATGATAATGGTATCAGTGCAGCACCTTTCCTCTACCCTGATAATATAGATCTCCATTTTCATGCTTCTGCTTCATATTTATCAAGGCTGAGGGACTGAACATCTATAAAGGCTGAGGAACTGAATATCTATAAAGGCTGAGGAACTAATCACCTGAAATTATTTCTCCATTTTTTCCACTGTCTCTGAAAAAACTGCTGTGTTTTGTGATCTGAATATCATATATGAGAGGAATCATTAATTGTACCATATTTAGCTAATAAAATCATGCAGTACACAGTATTTGTTATCTGGTTATATCTGTACACAGTACAGATATAAAATTTAAAATTTTGTGAATACTGAAGTAACATCTTGTTTAATACCTTTCTAATAAACTTTAAATATAATTTAAAAAAAAATGTGTTGTTAATTTCTATGGAATTGTTGAATTGTAAGCTTGCCATACAGATCAACACAGAGCATGTGTTGAAAAATTAAACTTTTTCTTTTTTTTCTTTTAGCAAGAACAAGTCAAATAAAAAAAAAAAATTCTGAATATGCCAGCACAGGACAACCATCATGAAAAACACAGCATATGGCAGAGAAAAAACAACACTCAGAGAGCTGCTGGATGGTTAGAGGAAGAAACAATAGAGCAATGTGACAGCCCACAAGATAAACAGGATAATGACACACGAGAGGACATTATAATTGACTTTGATGAATGTCAGAGTCCAAGAAGTGTTGATAGTGAACTAAATATTGAAGAGGTAGAAGAAAGAAGACCAAAATATGATGGTTACGCTTCATATATGAAGATAAATGAGCAACCACATAGTGAGATCATAAATTTTTTTTATTACTATTTATTATCAACTTCAAATTGTGATAAATAGTCTGCTAAGTTTCTGTATTTGCATCTGAGGAAAAAGAAAGGTCATCTTTCCTTAATTTATCTACTGTGCATTGAATCATTTGCCAAGGAATGTTTAACCCTTTCACTCTCCAGACCCTTAAATTAATATTGCTTTCAGTGTCACTTTTTAAAAAGAAAAATACATTTCTTTTCTGAAATGGTAGAGAATCTTTTTTTGGAAGGTAATTATGCCAAAAATATGAAACTTGATGTTAAACTTATGGAAATATGCAGTATGCCTTCTGTTCTATTGATTGGGCAAAAAAAAAAAACCCATTTGATTATTTCAACTACCCTGTAAAGTGCATAGATTTTGGTAATTTGGCATAAAATTACATAAAATTAAAAAATATCAGTTTAAAAATAGAGTCCATAATAAACAATGTAGACATTCTTGGACTAAAATGACATTTTCTCTGTTCATTAGTCATGTTCCCAGACCTCTCCTATATTATACTCGCTTTTTATTTTCAATTCTTATTCACAAAAATAGAAGATTTGCTATATTTCTTGGATAATATAACCAATAAAGATTGGTCATGGTTTACAGCATCCCAATAATTGAAACAGACCTATTAAAAACCCATAAAACAGATAGGGGGTTGTAGGGGAGACTACCCATCCCCCTGAAATATTGGTTAAAATTGAATATTTCCACTGCTTCGAGTTAAGTTTTAAGCTTCTTCCAATCCTGAAACCAATCAAAATCATCGCTGGTTTAGTAGTCTTCCACTGTATCAACTAATACCAAGAAACAGCCGATAAAACCATAAAAACCATCTGAGAAAAGACCTCAGGGTCACTTTTAAACCATACGTGTGGTCACAGTTTTATTTTTCTCATCATGCACTACATGGGGTAGGATTTTTTTTTTTATACTGTGCTCTCTCTCACTGCCCAGACCCAGTCTCTCATATTTAGTCCAAAATTTATACTTACAGCTTATCTGAGTGAGCTGAACTCATGACATAGAGCTATGTCAGGGATGCTGACCCCAGTGACATAAGATATACATGATGAACAGTGAAAGGGTTAAATATAATAATGTTAAATCATTCTTTTTATGAAAGTTAACACGCTGTATGACCCTTGTAGGTTTAGCACTTTTTTCTAATAATAATAATAATAATAATAATAATAATATGAACATTAACAGATAAACCTACTTAACTGCAGGGGTTCTTTTCCTGAGGCACCGGAAATGATGGGAAATTCATTGAAACCCTCTTGAATACCTGAAACAATGCTGTTTGTTTTAATATAAAATTTGAGGATGAAATTAATTTATTACACCAGAAGTTTAAAAAAAACATGTCAGGTTAAGCCTGATGGTGAGAGTAAAGTTGTTGAAATGAAGAAGGAATAAAAAGCAATGAGGGAGGGAGAATTAGTGAGAAAAAAATTGAGCTTACCTCCCTCTCAAGTACCTGTCATCAAAAATAGCTGTTGAGATGTCTCAAAACTGTTTACTAGATAGCATAATTACTCCCAGGTCTTTCATGTTTCTTTTCATTCTGTTTTATGAACCTCTTGGGGTTTTGTGTACAGTGTCCCTATTGCATTCTTCATTTTTTTCCATATCAAAGCAGCTGGAACTTATCACCATTAGCATCATGTTATTTTCCACTACCCACTGCTTGTTGTATTAATATTGGTAGAATTACTGACAATTTGTTAAGTAAAAGGACACAAATGCAACTAATGTGACATTTTATTGTGACAACGTTTCGCTCTCCAGGAGCCTTATCAAGCCTTTATCAACGGTTTGATAAAGCTCCTGGAGAGCAAAATGTTGCCACAATAAAATGTCACATTAGTTGCATATGTGTCCTTTTACTTAACAAAACTGCTTGTTTTCTATCAAGGTAACTTTCATGTTTTTGGTATCATCCACAAATGATGCACAGCTGTGGCAGGTGTTTTTACCTGTCTGCTATGAAGATATAAAACACAGTAGAGGTGCCAGGACTGTGCCATGGTATACTGAGCTTTTTATCTCACAAATGATGGAGTTTGCTGTTTACTATTCCTCCTCATATTTTATCTGTCATTAAGGTGAATATTTATCTGCCTACCTTCCCCATTATGCATTTGGCTCTTATTTTGTGTGCAATTGTAATTGCATTTGTCAATGCTTTTGCAAAATCCTTGTATACCACATGTGTTTTGGTTTGCTTCCAGTGCCTTTGTAATTCTGTCATAGTGGTTAGGCATATGACAGACTTCTCTTGTCTCAAGCATCTTTAGTTACAGTGCTGAGTTCCAGGCTCAGAGACTTGAGAACACATAGTCTTTATCCATTGTTGAGGATACTGGAGAGTCTTCTGATCTGTTATTTAGGATGTGGGAATTGGAATTGACATCTGCGTTGTGTCACCCTCCATGGCTCTGGATAAGGGTGATGTCCATTATGATATGTTATTGTATCCTCTTCCTCCCTTCCTAATGTTTTTATTTGATGTATTTAATTTTATATGGCCAATTGGGGTGTTTCTCCATAGTTGGTGACAGTCTTTGGTTCTGGCTATCCTAAAGCCAGATCAGGACTTGAGAGAAGCTGCAAACTACTGCCTAGTTTCTCTGCTTCTTTGAGTTGTTAGAGGATGTTGAATATTGATCTCATTTGGTATTTAGAGACAGGTTGGGAAGGTGTGTGATCCTAAGGGGAATAAGAATGCAGTGAAGATTCTGAATAATGAAACTGTTTGACTTATTGGCTTATGGCAACTCTAATGCCTCAGTTGTCAGATTAATTCATTGTTAATGAGTCATTGAGAGAGAGAGAGATTCTCCAACATCTCATCTTGATCACTGTCATCACCACAGTCACTAGGACAACTTTGTCTCACAATTACAAGTACATACATTATAGTTTGGGAGTATTGTGGGTTTTCCATCATTGCAGAAGCTTCAAGAATGTATTCCCTGTGGTTAAAAAGATGCTGCTGTTCAATACTCTTATTTCATTATTATTTATCTTATGGTAACATCAGATGATCAGGAGAGAGAAATATCCAGCAGCAGCTGCCATCTACCTCTTGAGGTGTGGAGAAGGCGTACTGGTACGCCTGACACAGTCAGTAGTAAGAGGATGATACAAACTGAGAGGAAAACTATCCTTTATGGACAGACTCCAGCTGCTATGTGCCAGTGAGTATGCTCTAGTACTGTACTACTTAGCTACCAGTGGTAATGCTTACCTAATTAACTACAGTATACTATACAGGTAGAAATGTTCATTGCAAACTCCTTACTCTTTTTTTTCTTTATAATACAGTACAGCTTTTCCTCATAAAATGCACATCCTAGATGTATTCCATGAAAGCCAATTGTCAAGCAACTCATTGGATAATGACTTACATATCCACATAGACTTCCATTATATAAGTGGAGAGGAGTTTCAGGGGAAATATTTGAAACCATTAGTCATTTTGACACTACTTTTACCACTCCCATTCCCACTCTATTTTCCACATTTGACTCTTGTCTGTATCTTCATTTTTGAGCATAAATGCATAAGAATGAAGAACTGTGTCCTCTTGCTTCATAAACAGGTTCAGCAGTCAGTTGCATTGCTCTGCCTCCAGTTTGAGGGGCCATCTGTCAGGAAGCTTGGACACACAGTCAAAGATCTGTATAGTGAATACATTTCATGCCATAATGGTTATATTATAATAAATTATTATACACACAGTAAAATTAATTCAGTGAATATAAAACAAATTTATATGTAAGTAGATAAAAGCATAGTATGGTACATGACAATAAGAATAATTAATTACATTAAGGTTCAGTCACATAAGTTCTTAGGTATAGTTTTTTACAACATTGGGTGACATTCAGTATAATGACTCAGATTCTAAATGTAATGACCATTCCAAGCAAGAAAGTTGGATAGTATATACTCTTGTAGCATCAGTGCTTATGTGCAGAAACCAGAAAACAGTAGAGGGTAATTACATACATAGATATAGTAAATGATTTAACTACAGCATCTAGGCACACAGTGCCTGCTTTAGCTTAGTTTTGAATTTAGTAAGATTGTTGCAATATTTTGGTTTATCTGGTAAATTATTCTGTCTTTGCACCTTTAATTTACATAGAATATCTGTAGACGTTCAGTTGAACGTGAGGGATAGCAAAGTAGTATTTGTTTCTGTGTGGTTCCTGTGTTCTGTTAAAGTTTTCTAGGATTTCCTTAAGTTCAACATCAGCACTACAATGCAGTGCTTTGAGTATGTTGATTGAACAGTAGTATGTATGAATTGCATTTACAGCCTCTCCTTACATAATGACGGAGTTCTGTTCCTAAGACAACGCCGATAAACGAATTCGTTGTTTACCATCTTTGATATTGTTTTAATGTCACCTTTGCACCATTTATAACATTTCTGGTATATTTTTAAATGTTTATACAGTAGTGTACTGTACATATAATAAACAGAATAGAGGAAATCAGTTCTAATATACATTATTTAGGTATTTATACTGGTCAGAGAGCTCATCATAAATCTGAGTCTTCAGTAAACAAGTATGTCACTAAATGAGGAGAGGCTGTATATGATATGATAAATAAATAAATAACTACTGTCTCTGAATAAGTAAATAAACAAATAATTACTGTAACTAACTAGAACCTGCAACATTTACACCCAGAAGCAGTGTAACATGATCTTGAATGCCTTGAATCCCAGCATTGACTACTGAATGTGTATTGCTGTTGCACCATCATAAAGTCAAACCATTCTACAGCAAGGAGCATCTGTATATGCAGAATTTACTGAAAACAAGAATAAGAATAAGAAGTTTATTGTGACATGATACATGGTTGTACAGAGGAATATAATACAGTAATTGGGTGTACTGTACATGCTAAAAGCTCCTTTGTATGCAGAACATTTCGGGCAAACTTAAAAATTAACTTAAAATTAGGAAGGCAATACACAAATAACCCGCACATAGAAGAGAGAAGCTTACGATGATGTTTCGGTCCGACTTGGACCATTTACAAAGTCAGTGTGACTTCGTAAATGGTCCAAGTTGGACCAAAACATCGTCGTAAGCTCCTCTCTTCTATGTGCGGGTTATTTGTGTATTGTTTCAGTCACGGTATTGTGCCTTTTTGTTATTTAGGAAGGCAATAATAGTTCATATGGTCATTAGATAAGTTACAGTGAGTATGAGAGATTTGAATATTCTATTAAGTAATGCTACATGGGTTTGATAAATCTAGTAGAGAATAATTACAATATTTAATTAGTTTATAAAGATTACAGTATTACAATAGAACAATTTAAAACAATTTACAATATGATGTATTACAATTTAGTACTGTATTATTTAAATCAATGAAATTTAGACATCTTAATTTTGAAGTAGTGAGTAAGTGGTTGAGCAATCCTAAGCATGATATGAGTAGCTTTTGAGGAACTGGTGGATATTAGGTATGGTTTGTCTGGTTAAATTTGGATGTGATGAGGTGATTTCTTAGTAGGGCCTTAAACTGATTTGCAGACAGTGGTCCTTTAGTGTGTTTTGGTAGTGAATTCCAGATCTTTGGACCCTTTACGTGCATAGCATTTTTGCAGGGGTTGAATAGTGGAAAGAACCTAAATGAAGCAAATACAAATCAGAATAGCTGACATCTTGAAAACTACTGTTAAATAACACCTTCTGTCCCTAACATATCCCAACATCAGCTAAATATGTAAAAACTATATACTATCCATATTTTCTTTTGTTTACTTAGTTTACCGAGTACATATACCAGGAAAAGTGTACGATAGGGTTATTATTGAAAGACTTAGAGGTAAGACAGAATGTAGGATTGCGGATGAGCAAGGAGGTTTTAGAGTGGGTAGGGGATGTGTAGATCAAGTGTTTACATTGAAGCATATATGTGAAGAGTATTTAGATAAAGGTAGGGAAGTTTTCATTGCACTTATGGATTTAGAAAAGGCATATGATAGAGTGGATAGGGGAGCAATGTGGCAGATGTTACAAGTACAGTGGTCCCTCAATAATCGTCCGGCCTGAAAGTCGTCCATTTCGGAAATAGTCCTGTTATTTTGTCTAAATATTGGCTCGCAAATGGTCCAGTAACTTGCTAATAGTCCTTCGTCCGGGACGCGTACTCACGCTCTGAGCCGCCTCGGCCTCTCTTCCCAGCCAGTGTGCCATTGTTTACCAGTGAGCGACGGTCCCCTCACTTGCTCCAACGAAATATTTCATAATATTCCATTGATTTTAGTGCTCTTGCAAGTGCTAAATAAGCTATCATGGCTCCAAAGAAAGCTCCTAGTGCCAAGCCTTTGGTAAAGAAGGTGAGAAATACGATTGAATTTAAGAAAAACATCATTGAACAATATGATAGTGGCGTACGTGTGGGCTAACTGGCCAGGATGTATAACAAATCCCTTACAACCATATCTTCCATCATAGCCAAGAAAAAGGAAATCAAGGATGCTGTTGTTGCAAAGGGGGTAAATATGCTGACAAAAATGAGATCACCAGTACTCAAAGATGTTGAGAAGTTATTATTGGTGTGGATAAACGAGAAACAATCAGCAGGAGATAGTCTTATGACGTCGCTTATTTGTGAAAAGGCTAGGCAGTTGCATGACGATTTGGTAAAGAAATTGCCTGCAACTAGTGGTGATGTGAGTGAATTTAAGGCCAGCAAAGGCTGGTTTGAGAGATTTAAGAAGCGTACTGGCATACACAGTGTGGTAAGGCATGGTGAGGCTTCCAGTTCTGACAACAAAGCGGCTGAAAAACATGTGCATGAATTCAAGGAGTACATAAACAGTGAAGGACTGAAACCTGAACAAGTGTTCAATTGTGATGAAACAGGCCTCTTTTGGAAGAAAATGCCAAAGAGGACCTACATTACTCAGGAAGAAAAGGCACTGCCAGTACACAAGCCTATGAAAGACAGGCTGACGCTAATGTTCTGTGCTAATGCTAGTGGGGATTTCAAAGTGAAGCTGTTACTAGTGTACCATTCTGAAAATCCCAGAGTTTTCAAGAAAAACAATGTTATGAAGAGTAAATTGTGTGTGTTTTGGAGATCTAATAGTAAGGCATGGGTCACAAGGGACATTTTCGTCGAGTGGTTCAATGAAGTGTTTGGCCCTAGTGTGAAGAATTACCTCCTGGAAAAGAAATTGGATCTCAAGTGCCTCCTAGTAATGGACAATGCACCTGCTCATCCTCCAAACTTGGATGAACTAATTTTCGAGGAGTTTGGGTTCATCACAGTAAAGTTCTTGCCCCCGAATACCACTCCTCTCCTCCAGCCCATGGACCAGCAAGTCATTTCAAACTTTAAAAAACTCTACACCAAAGCAATGTTTGAAAGGTGCTTGAATGTGACCTCAGACACTCACTTGACCCTACGAGATTTTTGGAAGGAACACTTCAGTATTCTCCATTGTGTAAGCCTTATAGGTAAGGCTTGGGAGGGAGTGACTACCAGGCCTTTGAACTCTGCTTGGAGAAAATTGTGGCCAGATTGTGTCCACAAGAGGGATTTTGAAGGGTTTGACGCAGCCCATGATGAGCCTATGTCAGTTGTGAACTCTATTGTCGCACTGGGGAGTTCCATGGGGTTGGATGTGAGTTTGGAGGATGTGGAAGAGTTGGTGGAGGACCACAACGAAGAGCTAACCACTGAGGAGCTGCAAGAGCTTCAGCAGGAAGAGCAACAGATCGCAGCTCAGAATCTTGCTGCAGAGGAGGAAGAGAGATAGAAGGTGCCTTCTTCAGAAATTAAGGAGATTTTTGAAATGTGGGGTAGGATGGAAAGATTTATGGAGAAACATCACCCAGAGAAGGATGTTGCAAGCCATATCGGCAACTTGTAGAGTGACAGAGTCTTGGCCCATTTTAGGGAAGTTTTAAAGAGACGCCAGAAACAGAGCTCTCTGGACAGTTTTTTTGCGAGACAGGACTCCAGTGACTCTCAAGGTGGTCCTAGTGGCATTAAGAAGCAGAGAAGAGAAGTAACCCCAGAAAAGCAATTGGTACCCGAGGTGTTGATGGAAGGGGATTCCCCTTCCAAACAGTAAATAATCCAATCTGTCTCCTTCTCCAGTCTTCCATACACAAAGAAGAATTGCCAATAAAGGTAAGTGTTATTCTGTTAATGTTTAATTCATCATGTGCCACTGTATTGTTTATGTACTACATCTATATTTCATGTAAAAAAAATTTTTGTTTTAATACTTCTGGGTGTCAGGAACGGATTAATTGCATTTACATTATTTTTTATGGGGAAAATTGATTCGAAAGTCGTCCATTTCGATAATAGTCCCACTTCCAGGAACGGATTAAGGACGATAATTGAGGGACCACTGTACATATATGGAATAGGTGGTAAGTTAATAAATGCTGTAAAGAGTTTTTATGAGGATAGTGAGGCTCAGGTTAGGGTGTGTAGAAGAGAGGGAGACTACTTCCCAGTAAAAGTAGGTCTTAGACAGGGATGTGTAATGTCACCATGGTTGTTTAATATATTTATAGATGGGGTTGTAAAAGAAATAAATGCTAGGGTGTTCGGGAGAGGGGTGGGATTAAATTATGTGGAATCAAATACAAAATGGGAATTGGCAGTTACTTTTGTTGATGATACTGTGCTTATGGGAGATTCTAAAGAAAAATTGCAAAGGTTAGTGGACGAGTTTGGGAGAGTGTATAAAGGTAGAAAGTTGAAAGTGAACATAGAAAAGAGTAAGGTGATGAGGGTATCAAATAATTTAGATAAAGAAAAATTGGATATCAAATTGGAGAGGAGGAGTATGGAAGAAGTGAATGTTTTTAGATATTTGGGAGTTGACGTGTCAGCGGATGGATTTACGAAGGATGAGGTTAATCACAGAATTGATGAAGGAAAAAAGGTGAGTGGTGCGTTGAGGTATATATGGAGACAAAAAACATTATCTATGAAGGTAAAGAAGGGAATGTATGAAAGTATGTGTATAATGGTACCAACACTTTTATATGGGTGTGAAGCTTGGGTTGTAAATGCTGCAGCGAGGAGACGGAGGCAGTGGAGATGTCCTGTCTAAGGGCAATGTGTGGTGTGAAGATTATGCTGAAAATTCAGAGTGTGGAAATTAAGAGAAGGTGTGGAGTTAATAAAAGTATTAGTCAGAGGGCTGAAGAGGGGTTGTTGAGGTGGTTTGGTCATTTAGAGAGAATGGATCAAAGTAGAATGACATGGAGAGCATACAAATCTGTAGGGGAAGGAAGGCGTTGTAGGGGTTGTCCTCGAAAAGGTTGGAGGGAGGGGGTAAAGGAGGTTTTGTGGGCAAGGGGCTTGGACTTCTAGCAAGCGTGCATGAGCATGTTAGATAGGAGTGAATGGAGATGAATGGTACGTATTTGGGACCTGACGAGCTGTTGGAGTGTGAGCAGGGTAATATTTAGTGAAGGGATTCAGGGAAACTGGTTATTTTTATATAGCCAGGCTTGAGTCCTGGAAATGGGAAGTACAATGCCTGTACTTTAAAGGAGGGGTTGGGATATTGGCAGTTTGGAGGGATATTTTGTGTATCTTTATACGTATATATGCTTCTAAACTATTGTATTCTGAGCACCTCTGCAAAAACAGTGATAATGTGTGAGTGAGGTGAAAGTGTTGAATGATGATGAAAGTATTTTCTTTTTTGGGATTTTCTTTCATTTTGGGTTACCCTGCCTCGGTGGGAGACAGCCGACTTGTTAAAAAGAAAAAAAAAATTCTTTGTCACTAACATATGGAAAACATTGTAATCTTATTCTTAATATCTGTAAGTCTCACGTCTCACACCCATTAAAACATTGTGTTCACATTGTGTTAATATGCCATGTCTAGTTTTAAGTAGTGTGCAAACATTAGTATTAGTCTGTCTGAAATGCTCAGGCATGTTAGTGGCTTTCTTTGTATTTAGCAATATTTTATGACATGTAAATCACACATTGTATAATATGCAAAGAAATAAAAATTTAATTTAATTTAATTTAAAAGAAGCCAAAATAAGCAAATACAGGTCAGGTCATTTGGTGGTAGCATGTAATGCATGAGTGTAGCCACATCGCAGTGTCCAGAGTTAAGCATTTTTCCAAGTACTGTACACTACTAAAGATGCTAAATCATAGTGATTTTTTCATGACTGTGTTAAATACTGCTATAATGGCTGCCTCTAAACACTGCTGCCATCTTACAAGATACTGGTGTGTGCTGCACACATACATACTTTTTTTTTTTTTAAACAAGTCAGCCGTCTCCCACCGAGGCAGGGTGACCCAAAAAGAAAGAAAATCCTCAAAAAGAAAATACTTTCATCATCATTCAACACTTTCACCTCACTCACACATAATCACTGTTTTTTGCAGAGGTGCTCAGAATACAACAGTTTAGAAGTATATAAGTATTAAGATACATACATACATACTTATGTTCCTTAATTTGTTGTCTTTCTTATGTATACTGACTCATCACAACTACTGGTCAACCTATTTTTTTTACCACATCCTTAATTGTAGTGATGGAGCTTGTTGCTACATTGAGGCTATTGTTTTTTAGGGTTCTAAATGTCTTTCTTATGTATACTGGCTCATCACAACTACTGGTCAACCTATTTTTTTTTACCACATCCTTAATTGTGGTGATGGACCTTGTTGCTACATTGAGGCTATTATCAACTAGTGTTCTAGAGATGTTGCTGGCTATGTTGCTAATGGAGAGGACAACATGTCTGGTAGCTGCTTCCTCACATAGTGTTAATGATGAAGAGGGCTCATTTTCAGTTTCTTCTGGAGAGCACACAGGATTGCCAGTTTATCATTCCTCTAAGAGGAATGATAAACTGGTAATCCTACATTTTCCACCATGCTTCATCATACACTGTAGATGTATGCCCTCCACATCATTGACACTACTACATGTAAGAGAGCAGCCAACAGGAACATTGTCCTTCCCATTAGCAATGTACCCTACACATCTCTAGGATGTGTAGGGTACATCTCTAGGATGTGTAGCATGAAGTTCATCTGTTAAGAAAAGAGAACCTACAAAGGCAGTGTATTTAACACTAATCATGTGACATGGCTCCATACATACACCGCACACTACTGTCACCTGACCTGTCCTGACACATGGCTCCATACATACACCGCACACTACTGTCACCTGACCTGTCCTGACACATGGCTCCATACATACACTGCACACTACTGTCACCTGACCTGTCCTGACACCTCTGTACTATGTAAGCCAATTTCAGTAAATTCTGTATATGATTGACAAAACCCCTAGTGGGCAAAATGTTTCTTTAATAAAAATCCTAAGAGTTGCACATATCTTTACACCACCTGTGATGTATCTGTGGTACCTGTAAATTTCACATATTTTGTTACAAAAATCTTATATACTATCACCTGCAGACATACATGTATTCATAATTCTATAATTAGACATCTCCTCTGGCAAAATAGTAAAAGGCACAATATCGTGGCTGGAATAATTCACAAATAACTGAAAAGTAACCCAAATTATTCTACTAAAGAGAACTTTATCAAAAGCTCTTCTTGGAAACTTTCCAGCCCATCTTTCTTTCTTTTGTACTTTATCATCAGAATTTATTAAATTTTGTATACAGCATTAACATAATTTTGCCAATCTGAAACCAAACTTTTAGTTTATATTCCTTTATTTTCCAAGTGTTTAATCCATCTCTTTCTGATACAGTAATTGTTTCCCGTGCTTTAATTATCTTGCTTGTCAATGAGATAAATCTATTATTTAATGAATTCTTTCTTTTATATTATTCGCCTTTCAGAATCCAATTAAGAGCCATGGCACACGCTGCAGGAATGCCGGTGCGAGAATTTGCAGAACTTGTATTGGCAGGCGATACACAGGAACATTTGCAGCTTCTTAGACAGTACCACACTCCATGCCTGCCTCAACTCTCACAGTTATTTGACGAGCTGGATGTCTGTGCTTTGTCAGTGAACCCCTTAAAACAAAAAATCAGTCGCAGGATCTCCTTGGATGATAGTACAGAAATTGCAAATAGAGCAAATACTGCCTCTGGAAGAAACATTGGGAGAGCCAAGCAAAATAAATCTAACAAGCAAATACCAGTTGCAAGTACTAGTAGAGAAAATAGAACATTAAAAAAAACAAGTGTTGTGCAAACTGTGGATATGACCAACTGCAAAAGAGTCAACTGTGTTCAAGAGACAAGGAAGAAGGGATTTGATACAGCTTCAAGAGAGGTGATAAAAAGTGCCATAACTGTCATACCCGAGACAGAGAGTGATACAAGTTCAAACAGTGAAAGTGATTCTGAGCTAAGTGTTAGTGATTTCATTCCACCCTCACCATCATCGAATGAAAATCAACTGGCACTTGTGAACACAGTAAAGCTTCCAGTTTATACTAAAATTCATATTAATACTAACTCGTGTTCTCTGTTATTATCTGCTCCTTCAGCTTCAAACTCCCCAGAGAGATCAACCCTAAATGATGTAAATTCAGTGGAAAGACAACAGAATCGTGCCTTTGAAAATCTTGCTCAACAAACTAATACAGTGTGCAACAGCGATTACAATAAAGTGTTGGATGAAATATTATTTGAAGATGAATCATTAACTCAACAACTCAAGACAAATAAATTTCTTGAGGAACAAATTGTGGGAAGCAATTTGAAATACTGTAATCCCCTGGAAAAAATGAATAAAGATTTTAATTTCCTTTCAGGGAAAGCAGATTTGTGTAAAAACAATGTTGGAATTACTAAAAAGAATTCAAGACATTACAACACAGTGTTGGATACTCTCATGTTTGGGGATTGCTCTTCTCCTTCAGCTTCACAGCCAGAGCAAAATGGTGAGACCTCAATCAGTATTAGTCAGACACCACCATCCATTACAATATCTCAAGATAATTCTTCAAATAAATTCAGTGACCACTCAACTCGCATAATTGATGAATTATTTGGTTCACTCCCAGAGAAACTCGATGAAGAACATAATGGGAAGGTTGAAGAAAGGCCTGGTGCAGTTGAGGTTCAGAGAAGGCAGAGGCCTTCTACATTATCTACAGTGTTGAATGGATCTCCTTGGGCAAGTCTTGGAACGTAATATAATTTATACAGATAAACACTTGAAATGATACTATGAAAACATTAATTTTAGTTCTGAAGAGACTATTGCATATGATAAAATTTAAAATTCATGCAAGGACACAGTAATCATTTTACTGTGTCCTTGCTTATACAGTGGACCCCCGCATAACGATCACCCCTGAATGCGACCAATTATGCAAGTGTATTTATGTAAGTGCATTTGTACGTGTATGTTTGGGGGTCTGAAATGGACTAATCTACTTCACAATATTCCTTATGGGAACAAATTCGGTCAATACTGGCACCTGAACATGCTTCTGGAGTGAAAAAATATCGTTAACAGGGGGTCCACTGTATATGGCTACAGAATTGAGTCCTAACTCCTAGTTCTACCACTGAACTTCCTCCTTGCCAGATTTTCTATTCTCAAAGGTTTTATAGTACCTGCTCATAAATCTATGTATAGAGGCTGCCTCCACCACCGAAATTGAAACCATTCCACTTCCCAACTTCCCTGAGACTGAAGAAATACTTCCTGACATCCCTGTGGTTCTTGTGTGTGTATACTCACCAGTTTATATTTTTAGGGGTCAGTACGTAGTTCCTGGCCCCACCTCCAAGACCTTCATTGGCATTATTAACCCTTTCAGGGTTTTGGTCGTACTAGTGCGGCTTACGCACCAGGGTTTCTGACGTACTAGTATGCCTAAATTCTAGCGCCCTCAAATCTAATGAGAGAAAGCTGGTAGGCCTACATATGAAAGAATGGGTCTATGTGGTCAGTGCGTGGTATAAAAAAAAATCCTGCAGCACACAGAGCGTAATGAGAAAAAAAAAACTTTGACCATGTTTTTGGATTAAAACAGCAACTTTGCACTGTATTTTCACATGGTATTTATTGATGTATTCTAGTTTTCCTGGTCTCATTTTATAGAATGGAAGACATTTTACAGAAATTGAGATGATTTTGACTGGTTTTACAATGAAAAGTACCTTGAAATTGAGCTCAAAGTAGCAGAAATGTTCGATTTTTACCAAAGTTCAAAAGCAAACAAATCATGCTATGCATTCAATACACGTCAGCTGGTGAGTCTAATATTCTTTCACAAGTGCGCTGATATTATTTATACCATTTCTACACTAATGCAGTAGTCTGCATAACAGTAAATCTTTTATTTTTTGTGAGAATAAAAATTCAAAGTGGAAAGCAAAAGAATGTAAGAGGGGCGTGGGGACGTGACTAATGAACAGAGGAAATGTTATTTTAGTGCCAGGAATGTCTTTCTTGTTTATTCTGGATCCTATTCAGAAATTGGCATCTTTTGAAATTTGTGTGAAATTGGCAAAATTGCTAAATTCTGACCACTGTATTGGATAGTTGAAATCGGTAAATGGGTGGTTTCTTGTACTCATTTGATAGACAAAATGGAGTTCTAGCGAAATAGTTATGATTTTTGTCAACTAGTACACTGGAATTGGCCGAAAATAGGGCTCAAAGTGGGTAAAATCGCCGATGCGTAAACATCGTCGAGACTGCTAACTTCGCGAGAGCATAATTCCGTAAGTTTTCCATCAAATTTCATACTTTTGGTGTCATTATGATTGGGAAAAGATTCTCTTCATAAGAAAAAATAATTTTTTTTTTTTTTTTTTAAATTTTGGCGACCCTGAGAACAAGTCTCTGAGAGGGCCTGTCGACCCCGAAAGGGTTAATTTCTAACCTCTTGGGCCTTACTATATCTACTCTTGAAGCTGAAGCTGTGCATTGAGTTTGCCTCCACAACTGCTTCACCCAAGTCATGCCACTTTTCATTGCATTGAGTGTATGCATGCTTACCTGTTTTTGGTTGTAGGGGTTGATTCTCAGCTCCTGGCTTCCACCTTTTAACTTGCCATATTCACTCCCTTGTAGCCTCATGGTTTCTATTGTACCTGCTCTTAAAACTGTGTGGAGTCTGCCTTCACCACTTCTTCTCAAACACCCAAGACTGAAGAAATACTTCCTGACATTCCTGTGCATTTGTGCACATGAAGGGACCCTTTATATTGAAGGGATCTTGAGCCAAGGAATTGGAGCTGCCCTCTCCTACCTTGTATTAATCTTGATTGCCTCCCATTCCCCATGCTGTATGATACTTGTAGGTTTAGCACTTCCATGAATATATGGTATCATTGAATATTCAGCATCCACCGTTATCCAACAGCTCCTGACACTCCAGCCGCTTAAAAGTAAAAATAGGTACCTGTGTATTAGCTGACTGTTGTGAGTCACATCTAGGAGAAAAAGGTTTCAGAGCTCCAGTCTTGTTGTAATGTCATATTCTGTGTGAGAAAACACTGGTCTCATTTAAGAAACTACTGGAAGTATTCGAGCATTGGGTAAAATGTATCCATATTCAGTACTGTACCTAATAATGGTAGCAAAAAGAAATGAACCTATGTACTGTATTTTATGGTGAACAAGACTATCCAGTGTCAAGGACACTTCCCAGTTCTGACTGGTTAAATTTTGAAAAAAAAAAAAAAAAAAATATGTCCATGGTAATAATAATAATGTTAAGCCTGAGGCAATTATGTGTATTATTTTAATCAAAACCAAGTACTAAAACCCACAAGGGTCATATAGCACTGCAGAGCAGGGTATGCTTGCTTGAATATAGAATAGTGAGGGTGTGGAGAGGATAACAGAGGTCTGTGGGGAGTGCTAAAGGAAGTACAGCCTCTCCTTACTTAACGACTGAGTTCCATTCCTAAAATCATGCCGGTAAACGAATTCGTCGCTAAGTGAGGAGCATACTATAATGGTAGTGGGTTTCTGTAAACTGTCTTTGATATTGTTTTAATGTCACCTTTGCACCATTTATAACATTTCTGGTATATTTTTATATGTTTATACAGCACTGTACTGCATATTGTAATAAATAGAATAGAGGAAATCAGCTCTAATATTTAGGTATGCATACTGGTCAGAGAGCCTGTCTTAAGTCTGAGTCATCGGTAAACAAGTACGTCGGTAAGTGAGGAGAGGCTGTACCATCAAAGTTTGTGCAATAAATCTTTTACTGTCAGAGGTGAGGCCATCAGCTAGGAGGGAAGAGGACCATAGCAGGTTTTGCACTTGTTTTTGATTATAATAATAGAAGAGAAGATAAAGGAAGAGTATTAGAACGATGATGACGTTAGAGGTAAATTGTGTGCTTGCTGGGTATTACATGTAAAAACACACATGTTGTTGGTTTGTTCTGCAGTTGTTTACCACTGATGCATCTGACTGTCAGGGTTGCAAATATTTTTTTTTAAATAGCACTAGACTCTGCCTAAAACAAGCTAAAAAGGTGCTAAATTTACATGAAACAGCAGTGCTGTATGACCCTTATGGGTTTAGTATTAGTTATGATTATAATAATCACACAAAACAGCACTAAAAAAAAACGTGCTAACATTATTAGTTACAAAAATAACACATGCATTGCTCTCACTTACCAGTATACAGACAATTGTTCTAGATCTGCTAAATCCTAATCAACCATCATTTCTTCAGCATGTGTAGCAGTTTCTTGTTGTGATTGGCTGTGCTGTCTTTCTACTCACTGTCTTGGTACATGCAAGTGGATGTGTCTACGGCTAGGACTGCATATTGATTTGTAATGATTTTTTCATGTATTTCATGTTTATGCTTTAAGTTTATTGATTTTACTATTAATGAGGGTACATTTGCATTGCAACACAACGAAAACAAACTTACAGTATGCAGATGGCAGCCTTTGTGCTTTACTACGGTATAAAAGTATGTATCATTATTTGAACCCCCTTTAACATACTGCAGTTATACGTTTGCCTTTTATATCTGATAATGTTCCATTAACCCTTTGACTGTCGCAAGCCCATTTCTGAAACTGTTGTTCTGTCGCAAAATTTTTGGAAAAAAAAAATTATTTTTTCTTATGAAATGACAGAGAATCTTTTCCCAATGCTAATGATACCATAAGTATGAAATTCGATTGAAAACTTAGGGAATTATGCTCCCGTGAAGTTTGCAATCTCGCCGATATATACGCATCGGCGATTTCGCTGAATTTGAGCCCTATTTTTGGCCAATTCCATTGTTCCAGTCGACCAAACTCATAGCTATTTCTTTAGAACTATTTTTTCTATCAATTGAGTACAAGAAACCACCCATTTACCGATTTCAACTATCCAATAAAGTGGTTAGAAATTGGCAATTTTGCCAATTTCATGCAAATTAAAAATGCCAATTTCAAAATAGGGTCCAGAATAAACAATGCAGACATTCTTGGCACTAAAATAACATATCCTCTGTTCATTAGTCACGTCTCCAGGCCCCTCTTTTATTACTCTTGCTATTTTGGTTTTTTATTCACACAAAAAATAGAAGATATACTGATATGCAGACTACTGCATTATTATTATTATAATCAAGGGGGAAGCGCTAAACCCAGAGGATTATACAGCGCCTGGGGGGGGGGATGTGGAAGGCATTCAGGCTTAATTCGGGGAACTGGAGCACAGATCCAATTCCCTAAATCAAGAGCCCCTCACCAACATCAAGGAACCTTCCTTGAGGGGCAGACTACTGCATTATTGTAAAAATGGTATAAATAATATCAGTACCCTAGTGAAAGAATATTAGACTCCCCATTTGGCATGTATTGGATGTGTGGTGTGATTTGCTTACTTTTGAACATTGGTAAAAATCAAACATTTCCGCTACTTTGAGCTCAATTTCAAGATCGTTTTCATAATCAAACTAATCAAAATCATCTCTATTTCTGTAATGTTTTCCATTCTATCAAACGAGACCAAGAAAATGAGAGTACACCCATAAATACTATACGAAAATACACTTTAAATTTGGCGTTTTAATCCAAAAACACAGTCGAAGGTTTTTTTTCTCATGCACTGCGTGCTGCAGGATTTTTTTATACAGTGCACACTGACCATACAGACCCATGCTCTCACATGTGGGCCTACCAGCTTTCTTCTGCTTGATTTGAAGCCACTAGAGTTATCGAGTATGTGTACTTCCGAAACACTGGCTCGTAAGACGTACATATACATGTATGGCGAAAACAGCCGAAGGGTTAATACCGTGAAATATGGTACAGTGGACCCCCAAGTTTCGGCAGCATTGACTTTCGTGAAATTCGACTTTCGGTAAGTTTTTTTTCGGCAAAATTTGGCCTCGAGTTTCGTGATTAGACTCGTGATTTGGCGACCGTCCAGTACCCGTCCGCCCATCACTGCGCACACAAAGCCAGTCTCCAACGCCATTCACGTTCAGTGTGCCATTGTTTACCAACATGTGACCATCACCCCGCAGGTTCATACGTAATAATCCATTGTTTTTTGGGATTGCAACTGCTAAATAAGTCACCATGGGCCCAAGGAAAGCTAGTACAAGCCCTTTGGTAAAGAAAGCGAAGAACACGATCCAGAGGGATTTTGAAGGGTT